TAACCTAGATGTGTGTGCGCGCGCACGTGTGTGTGTGTCCGCGCATGCGTGCGTGTGCGTGCATTGTGTTCTCTTCTACAGACTCATCCAAGTCCATTTAAATAAAAGTGTATTATAGTAAACAGTATTGTGTTTTGTTACAGTGAATATGTGGGGAATGGTGGATATGCCTTAGTGTGACTGGATACCCGCGGGTTGTGACTCTTTGCTGGTCACTCTGGATTCTCCAGTATAGATTCGATGCAGTGCAGAGGGGATTTGTGGTGCGTAGCAACACTGCTTCACTGTGACACCCCTTCAATAATTGTTTTGATGCATGATACTCCGGGCGTAGCCGGTTGATTCTAACTGTATCCCGATCAAAATAGAAATATGCATCTAATGCACCTGCATGGACAGTAGGCATTTCCCAAGTCGGCTGGCCGACAAATTCGCCGAAAAAAGTGGTTTTGAAGAAATCACCCATCTTTTCGCCGAATTTTCAAATTTCGCATGTTGAATTCGCCGAAAATCGATGTTTCAGTGCTTCAACAGAGTGTGCTTGTGTGTAAATGTACATCACGTAATGGGAACGGTGACTTCAAGTACTACGTTGAGCCGAATTCTGATCTTGGGGCTCATAATATGGCCGAATTTGAACATTATCTTAACCGATCGAAAAGCCGATTAGGCATGCTCTGTATGGGCAACTTGTCAATCAGTGCACATCTACGATGTGCGAATAAAACGAATGCAAGGAACGTGAACTTGTTGCTGCACATCTACGAAGTGCGAATCAGGGAGTAGTATAATGACAAGTGTACTAGTACACCTTGTGTTGCACTGCGTCTTTTCCACACGCATAGGACCACTGAAGGTCGCACGCTCCGCGTGCGTATGCGCGCATGCGCAATATGTCACTGCATGCAATGCACATCTACGATGTGCGAATCAGGGAATAGTACGTATTTTACTACTCCACGGTGCGAATGCACTGAACGTGCACAAGTGCACGTTCGCCACGGAAAAGAACATGATGACACTTATGGCATGCCAGGGGTCAAAGGTCAAACTCTGGGGGGTCCCGAGGCCAGACCAAGCGCGCCCGATACAGTGTGCCTTATTTAACCCAAAGGTCAAAGGTCAAACCCTGGGGGAAGTCCTGGGGCCAGACCAAGCACGACCGACACAGTGTGCCTTATTTGGCCCAAAGGTCAAAGGTCAAAAAGTGTGCCAGAACCTGCCCCGCACTAACTACTTACGTGTAGCCATGATTGTCGGGGCAAGACAGAAATTTAGCCTACATTTTTCACGCAAACTGATCGCGAAAGGAAGATGAAATCGACAATTTCACCCGAACCTGTCGGTTCTAAACTCAAATTCGACGGAAAAGATGGTTCTTGGCGACAATCGCCGCTCTTTGCGTGACCTCTAGTCTGAGTCTAGAGCTCTCGGCAAAGTCGGTCGGGGATCGCGTAACTAATTACTGTTACTTGCCATAAGAGGGTCTTCGACTCAGTTTCCATCAGGGAATATGTACATGTACATGATTGTACTACTTCCTGCTTTCCATTTATTTCGTTTTCTTACATGACACGTGATTGTCGCCTAGGCCATGGCCAATAGGCGCCTTCTCCTCGCGCATATCATCAGACCACCAGGACCGTTTGACGTCATTTCGAGAATAATTCGACCTTTTGACCTTTGACCTTCCCTAATATGTTGCTTCGCGCTGTAAGAAATGAAGCACGCTCAGCTGTCATGTCATGTCAGGGCATGTTGGCTGAACTTTGGCTTGGGTCCTTGACCTTGCCGGAACTAACTACTTGCGCGGCTAACTGCAGCGCTCGCCGCTCGGGCCTACTTTTGTAGTAGAATTTATTGGCCTACCGCGCGCCCTTTGGGCTGCACATGCATACTGTCTTTCTGTCAAAGTGTCATGATGGCTGAATCTTGCCTTCGCCTGCACAGGCTGCAGGCTGCAGCCCTCAGGCCTACGGCCTTTGAGCTTGGGCCTTGGGCTGCAGGCTCGAGCAAGATTCATGTTCAGCCATCATGACCTTGGCCTTATCATTATGAGCGTGCTTGATTACATACTATTTTAGCTATTTGTCACAAAAAACATGGCGCCAGCGACTTTGCGGCCATGCGCACGCGCTCAGCGCGGCTCATAAGTATGGATTATCCCATTAGTACGAGGAGTATACCGCCGAATATTTTCACGAGTGCGTTAGCACGAGGGGAAATATAAGGGACACGGTATACACAGAGTACGAATGGTATAATTCCATTTATCCCATGTACACTACTGTCCCAAATAGGTCGTGACCAGCACTAAAATCTCCCTTATTGGCGTGGCCAGGGGAATATTCGTGACCCCAGCGGGGAATATATTTGACCCCAGCGCTAGCGCGCGGGGAATATTATTGACCCCAGCGGGGAATATAGAGCGATATTCCCCGCTGGGGTCAAATATTTGACCCCAGCGGGGAATATCGCTCTTTATCACTCTCTTAGTATTGACTCACATAGATTTTTGCCATACCTAAGCAGTCAAATATTCCTGCATATCTCACTCCTTAGGGCTATATTGACTGCTTAGGCTGCGCAGTTGAACGGTGCCTAGTGCAGCATTAGAGAGTTTTCGCACGGCGTGCAACGTGACAAGGCCGAACGCGAGGCTATTCACGTGCGTGACGCACTTGAAAAGAGCTTTCGCAGCAGGTGAACATGGTGAACGTGCACACCCACCGCACAACCAACGCGCTGATCGAGTTACTGGAAATTCTTCAGTTTTGAGCGCACCAAGATGCAAATGATCCGTAACAAGAGTTCATAAGTTCATAACCCCTGGCCTGGGGGTTATGACCTAACGTGTTACTTTTGTCCGTAATGATCCACACGCGTGCTCTTGTTTTGCTCTATGACTGATAAAATATTTCGTGCAAGAAGCACATGTCCAGCCGCCCTGATCTGAGCCGTTGTCTGTCTTGGTCTTTGCACATACCGGTACCTGTCCGCCTTTGCCTCTTTCGGTATGGACGCTGATTCTATACATGCCGTGTTCATGGCATACTTTGAAGGAATAATCGATGAGACAAGAATGCTTATGATATTTGCTGCTCTCGAAGAGGATTATGAACTAGAAGACGATAGCAAATCCTACGGCGACCGTCTAGATCTAAACAGCTTGACCAGTGCGGAATGCAAAGATAGCTTTAGGTTTACCAAGGAGCAGCTTTTAGACTTGTGCGATGCACTGCAACTGCCTGACGTGATGAAGGGACCGAACAGAAGTAGATGGAGCGGTATAGAAGGCTTATGTGTTTTGCTCCGCCGATTGTGCTACCCAAATCGTCTCTGTGACCTGGAACATTTCTTCGGTCGCCCTAGCAGCACACTCTCCATTATCTCTAACTGCGTGTGCCTCTTTGTATACCGGCGGTGGAGACATCTTCTTGATGACTTTGCCAACCAGCCATGGTTCACACCTGATATCCTTAGATCTTGTGTGGAAGCTGTGAACGAGAAGGCTGGTCTCCCTCCTGGCATAGTGAATTTGTGGGGATTTATTGACGGTACACTACGAGAGTGTTGCAAGCCACAAGAAGACCAGCGTGTCTACTACAGCGGACACAAGAGATCGCATGGCATCAAGTTCCAGGCAGTTGTCGCAGCCAATGGCATATTTGCCCACATGTTTGGTCCAATGCCCGGATCGCGTCATGACGCAGCTGTGCTTCTGCACAGTGATTTGTTACGGTACATGCAAGACAGGCTGCCAATTCCCGCTCCTGGCCAGGTTTACCAGATCTATGGTGACCAAGCCTACCCATTGAAGGAACAGCTTCTACGGCCCTACCACAACCCTAATCATCAGGAAGCATTGTTCAACACTGCTGTGAGCAAGCTTCGCATGTCCGTGGAGTGGGGTTTCGGTGAGGTTCAAAGAGCATTTGCTTTTATTGATTTTAAGAAAAATTTGAAGCTTTATTTGCAGCCAATAGGTGCTTATTACACTGTGGCTGTCCTCCTCATCAATTGCCGAACCTGTTTAAATGGTCGGAATGAAATCTCAGACTATTTTCAATGTCAGCCTCCTGCATTGAACGAATACTTGCGATAACCGACAGCTGGCTTAGATAATATGTTGTCCAGCAGCATACAATGGCGCAGTGGTTGCTGCACTGTACGTCATTGCTGGCACACTGACTCTCACTGTGTGCACTACTAGTGATCAATTTTTTTATTTGACTAAAGCTTTGCAGACATAATTATAACCTCTTGTCATGAATAGTGTCGCATGAACCCATCAATCCCTTTGCTCATAAATTATCGCTTTCGGAGTGAGCATTGATGAAAGTACTGTAGCCCGGTAGTAATATTTGTCTTGTTATCCTAGCCTATTTGGATGTTCATGTATCTTCTCATCAATTGTGCACTTGAAAATGCTCCACTGTTTCAATGCTACACCTTCCACAGAAGCCTTTTGTTTTCGCAGCAGAAATTCACCATGCATAAAACCTTGATATTACATTATAACTAAACGTTGACTACACGTTGTTGCTGTTGCGGCACAGCACGGTCTTGTACCAAGCAATAATCACCAGGGAGAGGATTACGAGGCTGGGGGAAAGCTGCCTTGCTTTCACTTGTGAACAAACAAAACAAAATGTGAGTGATATCATGCATTCAGGGTAAAGCATGGTGCAACGTACAAGACATTCCACGCACATCAGTACTGGTAATACACTTGAACTTCAGTAGCTACCTGTATCTGCGACAGGCAGAGTATGGCGCGGTGCCAATATACGGCGAAGAGAGTGGAAACGAATTGCTACATACTAATGATCTATGGAAAGCATATTCTTGCGACCAGTTACTGCACATTTCAATCATTTCGATTTCGCACTGAAGTCAATGGGTTGTCGGCTAAAATCAAGGCACACTACAAAGAAGATACACTCTTCAAAAAGGCACATTTCGATAACATGTCCAGCTTCTGTGCAGCTACCAGTGAATCAATTGTTTTTCGGCAAAACGTGTTTCACAAGGCTCATCATCATCTCCATCTGTTGATCGCCGCGCTGCTGCTCTCTCTGGAAGCGTTCATTCTCCAGTCGATGGCGATGGCTTCGTTCCTCATCCTCAGCAGCAAGCTTCTTGGCTTCCAGGTCCAATTTTTTGGCTTCTCTTTCATTGTCGATAACTTGCTGCTGCTGCTGTTGGGCATGTCTTTGTTCCTCTCGCTGCTTTTCTGTCTCCCACTTCTCCCTCTCCAACGTCACCTTGTCCTTTTCCAATTCCAGGGCCACTGTCTTGCCTTGCCGGTCAGCCTCGTCTTTTTCCCTGAAATAGGACAGCAACGCTGTGGTGCTCGTTTCTTTTGGTGATTTCTTCGGCTGCACTGGTGAAGGTTTGGGCTTCTTCATATCTGGGTCGAGCTCCTTGTGATCGTCAGTTGAAAGGTCAGAGATGGATCGCTTCTCGGACAGGACCGACATGGCCAGCTCACGGCATGCAGCGCCCTTTGCCCGATCTAACCCTTCCTTGCGACTCTTGGAATCTGACTGTAGCTGGCGATTTACGTAAATCGAGGCGGCTTCTTCCATCAACTGCAGCTTTTCGTCCCTCTCTTCAGCATTCCCGGACTGGCGACGCCGCCAGTTTGAATCAGAGCGGTGTTTCGTAACCACTTTTACAGCTCGCTCCCGCAACGTCCTCTCGGTAGCTGTGGAGAAGCTCGTCTCTGTGCTTCGATTCAGCGCCCTCGTGAAGTCCTTCCAGCATTTCGACCCGTAATTAAAACAGTTGCCTGCTTCGCACCCAACGATAGCTCTCATCAGCAATATGTCGTCTTTTACAGTGAAATTCACTGTGGCAGTCTCCGGGGAAGACGCCCAGCTGGTCTGCTGACCGCGAAGTTCTGGCAGAGGAGAGTGCGACATGGCTACACAAAACCACCACTTAAGTTAACGGGAAGAAAGTCTGAAAATTTGTTTGACAGCTTTGTTTCGCAGCTGCCAAGTGCCACTTCGTCGATTTAATTTCCGCGCCACATTTAGAAGAATTTCGCCGTGCCCGGTTTCTAGCAAAATCAGGTTTACCCCTCAAAACCCTCCTCAACCTTCCCCGGTTAGCCGTTAGAACTTTCCGTAAATCGCGCGTGCTGGGCCATCAAGTGCCAACGTGATGAGGCCGCGTTCCACGTTGGCAACGCGCGTTTGCCTCGCTTCCGAACGTAGCACGTGACCGTCGAACGCGTCAAGTGAGCGCGTTGCACGCCGTGCGAAAACTCTCTAGTGTCACTGTATGAGTACTAGTAGATGGTGGTGCAACGGTTGTGCAATCATAACACCGGGATTCATGAGGTTATCGTTCTGGAATTTGAAATACGGACTGTTTGTCGTGATAAATCTAATATTGACTTCGTACTTGGTCAGTATAGGAAATAAAAACCTCGTAAAAGACCTCGGCTTCGCCTCGGTCTTTTACTCGGCTTTTATTTCCTATATTGACCTCGTACTCAGTCAATATTAGATACATAATATATGCTATATTCCCCGCTCAGAACGGTCGCTGATTGGCTGAAATGGCCCAAATCGTTTCGTACCATGGCATGGGATAATTATTATCAAGAGTATCTACTCTTGTTATTATGTAAGTCATCATAATAGCTTCCATAGTGGGATGGTCTAAGACCATGATTGAGAAACCATTCAAGACCTGCATTCAAGACCTGCTTGGAAGCGGAAGGAATTTTTCCAGCCGTGCTGCGACCCCACAGTTACAAGTAATTGGGAACTCGTGGCCTGGCACGAGGGTAACATGGATGCAATGGGATTTCGGTCTTCGACCCCTTTGTGGTGGGTCTGATCTACTCACCTCCCACCGTTAGGCGCTGCATCTGCGCCTTTGATCCTAGAGGGTGGTGGCGTTCCCACGACGGATGCGGAAAACTCGGCTTCCAGCCGAGTCTCACGCGAACCGTGAATTTTTTTAATAGCTTCCCGCGACAGACTACAAAATACTTTGGAGACCGTCTACACGGCCGCAGGGGGTTTCGAAGATTGTTCTTTTTTGTCGAAGTGGATGAAGAACTGCACGAATAAAGGCCCCACCGGATACCCGATCTTCGCTGTATACTGATAGCATTGTCTTTGAACTGTAGCCAAACAAACGATTCTATTGAAGAGCAGCTTGGTATAGCAGCTCTTCAAGCAGGCGAGGAGCCTCACAAGCCTTGGGGCTGGCTGCAGTGAATGTGTGCACGTCAAGCAGTAAAATGTACCAATATTATTATCTCCACTATCAGAGGAAACACTTTTCTCAAGGTTTGGAGACTCCACTGTAGCCAATACTTGAATCCATACATCCTGTACACACACCTTGTACACACTCTCTCTAACGGTCTCTAGGCTACACTGCAATTGATATACATTAGAATGTATAATGTATATCAATTGCAGTGTAGCCTTTAAAGACCGTTAGAGAGAGTGTGTACAAGGTGTGTGTACAGGATGTATTATCAGAGGAGGATGGAGAAACTGGAAACTGGATACAGAGAAGTTCACTCGAGGAGCAGTAAATGCTCCAGGAGTGGAGCAGAACAATAATTATAATAATAATTAATAATTTCAATATCACTTCTGTCACAAGCCGTGGCAAGATATGGAATCCCACTGCTGGCGTTGCGCTGAGGTGTGCCGCGTTGGAGCATGGCTGTAACTAAGTCGGTTGTTGCAGTAGATTGCTCTGCTGCTGAGGTGGATGCGTGATGCACTGTCTGGCGATGACTGGCGATGACGTGCCTGAGGCTGACTTAGCTGTTACTTCTGCTGACAGGGATGCATCAGGAAGCATCGATCCAGCAATGAAGAGGATGTGGACCATACCCCTGACAGTATAACAAGGGACCGAGTGTATATCGAGAAATATAGACCAGCATAAAAACCGAGGCGAAGCCGAGGTTTTTATAACTGGTCGATATTTCTCGATATACACGAGGTCCCTTGTTATAATAATTATATTTATACCTCTCCATGCGCAAGCTCAAGAGCAAAAAGGAGTGAATATAGCTTTCTTTCCCTAAAAAGGAGTGAATATAGCTTTAGAGAAAGAAAGCTATAAACACTCCTTTTTAGAGAAAGAAAGCTCCTCAGTGAGTTTTTTTCTGATGGTTTTCCTCAGTGGTGTATATACATGTGCCTCCTTTGTGGTGTATATTGAACAGTGTATATGGAAATTTACAAAAGGAATAGAATACGAAGCTTGTGTTGGCTGTGACTCCGAGTTTCACGCCTATGGCGATCATCAGACAGCAATGATTACAAAAACTCAATGAATGTTCTTGATATAGTGTGGTAAGGTGCCAGTGGAATCAGAGAATTTAAGCGCAAATAAGGTCAAGCGGTGATTCTATGCATGTGCTTGCAAGATTAGCGCCAGACATCAGGCGTAATCCTGGTTTATGTAACTGGAGGTGTGAAGTTAGATAGGTAGAATTTGTTCTCATGTCTGCACTTGGCCACTAGCTCCGATCGCTTGTTGATGTTCACCCTTCTGTCAGCATGCAAGATCTCCAGCTTCTCACGCAGACAGAGAGGGCAGCGCTTGGTGGCATTGGAGTATGCTGGTGTTTGGGCGACAACTGACCAACTGATGCTGTACCCGGCATTCTTGCGCTTCATGTCCCAGATGAGCTTCGACAACTCGGTACTCTTCTCCATTCGCCCATGCCTCATTGACGTCATGTGTCCGTCGTATCGCTTCTTGAACGTCATTTCCGTTAAGCCGAGGTACTCATTTCGTTCGTCTTTTCCGGTTTCTGTCACGCTGGCCTTGTATACGATTGACTGGATCTGGCAGTTTCCATGCATGGGGCAGTTAACTTTATCCCTGCAGTTGACATCTTTTCTCTGTTCTCTGTTGATCATCTTTCTGCTTCTTCCGCAAGACCGAATTGTTGTGCGCCTTTAGTACACCAGACATGTTCTGCATGCAGCTGTAACTTACTTTTACTGTGTTACTGTTGAGTATTTTGTTTAGGCGTGAACGAGGTGGGAAATGCTTCTCGACGAGGTGCAAGAATCTTTGCGCGACATTCGTGGCTACTGTTTTGCTGAATGGAGGATTGTACCAGATGATCTTTCGTCTGCGGTTTTTCTTCTTTTTCTCTTCATCTTTTTCTCTCTCCTCCATGTACACGATCTGCTCGGCGTAACCGCTGGCCTTGAGCGCACTGTTGTACAGAGGTGCCGCCTCCTGGAAGATGTCTCTGTTGGACGAAATATCTGTCAATCGTCTGCTGATAGACTTGGGTATTTGTTGGATGATGGTTGGCGGGTGGTTGGATAGTGTGTGGACGTACATCGGCGTGTCATTTGGTTTTCGGTAGGGGCGGTAGGTCCCGTCGGCTAGATTAAGTGTGACGTCGAGGTAGTTTACGACCTTCATGCCGGCATCGATGGTAATTTTCAGCCCAAGATCTTTAAAGATACGGCATATCTCCTTTCTTGCTCTGTCTGCTGCACTGCCTGTCGCATCTCTCAAGACCGCCAACCCGTCGTCGTGGTAGAGTCCGATGTTATCACTGTCGAACTTATCAGCTAGCTTTGACAGTGCGTAAGTTCCCACTAGCTCGCATGTCTCTGCTCCGTCAAAACAACCCATTGTGACGTCAAATAGGCCTCTTCCGTCCTTTTTCATCCATGCTGCATCACTACTAAACAGGAGCGACTTTCGCGCATGCATGATGATATCTCGATCTTGCTGGCTGACGTCGGAATGCTGTGCTGCGAATGCAATGGATTCTTCCAGCAGGTCTTGGGAGATTGTTGGGTAATATTCCACTATGTCGAAGCAGACAAACGTGCATGCCGCTTTATTGTCTATTTCTCGGAACCAGTTGACGACTGCAGCGGTATTCTTCCAGGAGTTCCACTGGCACCTTACCACACTATATCAAGAACATTCATTGAGTTTTTGTAATCATTGCTGTCTGATGATCGCCATAGGCGTGAAACTCGGAGTCACAGCCAACACAAGCTTCGTATTCTATTCCTTTTGTATGAAGCTCTGCAACCCGGTGCATTGAGCACTCTTTCGAGGACCACACCCAACCTTCCGTGTGTATATGGAAATTTATAAACTTCATGGGAGATTTGGTATAATTATGAATGTGGGTGTATATGGAGTAAGGTATAAACATGTATATTTTAGTAGCAGTGGTGAGGCTTCCTGCAGCTTCATTCATAGGAAGAAAAGGGTTCAGCAGATCGAAAGCACCCGTGACATGACGCATGACGGGCAGTGGAATGAGCAACAATGTTGGTGTTGAAGCGCCACTAGGCGAGGTGCAGGATCGACAGAGTGCGATGCCTGGTGGGAGGAACCTGCGAGAGGGCACTTACATGTATGTACATGTACCTTCAGCACACCAGCACTCTTGAATCATCTACTAGTACATATACCACACCGTACCGTCGTTGATACGACTTTGCACCACGCTGTTGGCTGACAGGAAGTTGACCGGCCGCACTGCACTTATGCCGCTTGTACCCAGACGGACTAAGATGGAGGTCGCAAACACTGCAGTGCACAGTTGGCTTAGACGGTGGTGGTGGAGGCACAACATCAACGACACTAACTTGATCTCCACCAAGGTCGATCCTGGGCTGTTGCAAACCATGCATGGTGTATCCAAGGAGCGTAGGCCCACAGACACACAGACACACACACACTCTCTCACGCACTCTCTCTCTCTCTCTCCCTGTCTCATTCTCTCTCTCTCTCTTTCTCTCTCTCTCTCTCTCTCTCTCTCTCTCTCTCTCTCTCTCTCTCTCTCTCTCTCTCTCTCTTTCTCTTTCTCTCTCTCCATCTGCGCGTCAAATCTAGATTGACAACCTGCTTGTTAAATCATGCACCTGCTTTCAGGCGTAAAAACCCT